TAGAGCCGGAGAGTCTGTGGGCGCAAATGAGACTGATTTAATGTGCGCAATCACCCCCCCTCCCCCCCCAATTTAAAGGTTATTTGAGATTGATGTATATAATTAGTATTCATCAACAATCAAATGAAAACTCATTTGTAAATCAACATTTCTAATTAGATTGCCTAATGTATGTTTGACTTTGTTAGAGGAAAATAGAACATTAACGAGGGGCCGTGCAGAATCTCCCTTTATCTAGGAAAAAAAGAGCGTCTGCCATTATGGAGAGGATGGCGGGTGACGCGGATTCACCGCAATATCCTGACGGCCTTTAAAGCCGAATTCTGGGCGGATAGAAAAGACACAAATGGACGCGGCTCTATTCGTTAACCTGTTGCCGCTCACGAGGTGTGCAAAGGGGGGGGGGGGGGGGGGTGTAACGCCCACATGACACACGCATGTATCACGGAGGCCAATGTTTCTGTGCTGAGAGAGAACTCCTAGCACTGAGATAGTAAAGGAGAGGAGAGACAAAAGAAGAGGAGAGGAGAGACGATGAGTGGAAAGGAGGGGAGAGGAGAGGAGATGAGGAGAGACAAAGGAAGAGGAGGGGAGAGATAATGAGTGGAATGGAGGGGAGGGGAGAGGAGATGAGGAGAGAAAAAAGAAGAGGAGAGGAGAGACAATGAATGGAAAGGAGGGGAGAGGAGAGGAGAGATGAGGAGAGGAAAGACAAAAGAAGAGGAGAGGAGAGACAATGAGTGGAAAGGAGGTGAGAGGAGAGGAGAGGAGATGAGGAGAGACAAAAGAAGAGGAGAGGAGAGACAATGAATGGAAAGGAGGGGAGAGGAGAGGAGATGAGGAGAGACAAAAGAAGAAGAGAGATAATGAGTGGAATGGAGGGGAGAGGAGAGGAGATGAGGAGAGACAAAAGAAGAGGAGAGGAGAGACAATGAGTGGAAAGGAGGGGAGAGGAGAGGAGAGGAGGAGAGGAGAGGAGAGATGAGGAGAGGAGAGGAAAGATGAGGAGAGGAGAGACAGAAGAAGAGGAGAGGAGAGACAATGAGTGGAAAGGAGGGGAGAGGAGAGGAAATGAGAGGGGAGGAGAAACAAAAGAAAAGGAGAGGAGAGACAATAAGTGGAAAGGAGGTGAGTGGAGAGGAGGAGAGACAAAGGAAGAGGAGAGGAGAGATAATGAGTGGAAAGGAGGGGAGAGGAGATAAGGAGGGACAAAAGAAGAGGAGAGGAGAGATGATGAGTGGAAAGGAGGGGAGAGGAGAGGAGATGAGGAGAGACAAAAGAAGAGGAGAGGAGAGACAATGAGTGGAAAGGAGGTGAGTGGAGAGGAGATGAGGAGAGAAAAAAGAAGAGGAGAGAAGAGACAATGAATGGAAAGGAGGGGAGAGGAGATGAGGAGAGAAAAAAGAAGAGGAGAGGAGAGACAATGAGTGGAAAGGAGGGCTGAGGAGAGGAGAAGAGAGAAGAGGAGTGGAGAGATGAGGAGAGGAGAGGAAAGATAAGGAGAGATGAGGAGAGGAGAGACAAAAGAAAAGGAGAGGAGAGACAATGAGCGGAAAGGAGGTGAGTGGAGAGGAGATGAGGAGAGAAAAAAGAAGAGGAGAGGAGAGACAATGAATGGAAAGGAGGGGAGAGGAGATGAGGAGAGAAAAAAAGAAGAGGAGAGGAGAGACAATGAGTGGAAAGGAGGGGAGAGGTTGGTGTTTTTTTGTTTTTTGTATGTGCCATGGATAGCCCCCGCGTGGGCGTGTTTTGTTGCTCCTGTCTTCAACTGTTTATAAATGAATAAAAACATTGAAATACAAAAAAAAAAGCTGAAGAATATATTTAAAAAAAATATATTTTTAAATATATTCCTTTAGAAAATATATTTAAATTTTTATTTTTTTAGAATACATGTTAAAATATATTTAGCGTAGGCCGATATACTGTAAATATAGGTCGCATATATAATATTTTTTCTAAAATATATTGTAAATATATTTCTCTTTCCATGCGGGTTTCCCATCCCTCTCCGTCTCCTTTGGATTTTGCCTTCTCTGCAGCCACTCAGGAATAACAATGGGCCGGCGATCACAATAGGAAATGTTAGATTGTGATGTGACTCAGCAATCGTAGGTGATCTGAGCTCTGTGAATCGCTAATTTTGCAGGAAAAAAGGTCATTTGCATTCACATTAACAAGTCCATCAATTCAAATATTGCTGAGCCATCGCTGCAGTAAAAGCCCAATTATAAAAGGTTCATCACTGGAGAGGAGTGATTGTCGGATGGAGCCGATCCGGGGCCCACCAACCAGAGGGGATATTGATCATCCATCCCGCTCAGCTCCCAGGGCACGGCTTAGTAGACATGTCACTTTGGGGGCAACGTCCGGGATAAAGCTGCAAATGCAGCCGATTTGTTTTTAGAAATCGACTTGAAAGGATACAATTATTCAAATCATGAAAATATTCAATTAATAAAAGTGATTGTGTCTGACGTGCGTTTCCTTCAAGTAAATCCGAATAGAGATCTTGTGGATCCAAACATGAAATTAGTTGCTGGGCTTCCACTTTTTTTATTGCTTTGGAACATTCTCACTTCCCAGATGCTGTAAAAAAGTGGAACTTCACTTCCTCAGTCGACATGGACTGTTTGTAATCCTTATGCTGCTAGGATTAGTATATAGATAGGAAAGTATATCATATATTTGTTTTTACCAGTTGATGCCAGCCTATAGCCAGATGGCGGCTGGGCGAACAGCTCGTCCCTCCGGGTGGACGCCGATTTTTTTTTTTGTACTGTCACCAGTCAGTGTCCCTGATTACCGCCACACCAGTTATATGCTGATGCTGTACTGCACTGGTGACAGTATGTAAAAAAAATAGTGAAAATAATTTTTTAAATTTCTTCATTTTCCGAAAAATTATGACAAACAAATTACAGCTTCAAAAAAACATGCCATGCCTCTTATGAAGTACGTCGGACTGTCTACTCTGCAAAAAGGGGTCATTTGGGGGATATCTGTACTGTTCTGGCATTTGGGGGATATCTGTACTGTTCTGGCATTTGGGGGATATCTGTACTATCCTTACATTTGGGGGATATCTGTACTGTCCTGACATTTGGGGGATATCTGTACTATCCTTACATTTGGGGGATATCTGTACTGTTCTGACATTTGGGGGGATATCTGTACCGTTCTGACATTTGGGGGGATATCTGTACTGTTCTGACATTTGGGGGATATCTGTACTGTTCTGACATTTGGGGGGATATCTGTACTGTCCTGACATTTGGGGGATATCTGTACCGTTCTGACATTTGGGGGGATATCTGTACTGTCCTGACATTTGGGAGATATCTGTACTGTTCTGACATTTGGGGGATATCTGTCCTGTCCTGACATTTGGAGGATATCTGTACTGTTCTGGCATTTGGAGGATATCTGTACTGTTCTGACATTTGGGGGATATCTGTACTGTCCTGACATTTGGGGGATATCTGTACTGTTCTGACATTTGGGGGATATCTGTCCTGTCCTGACATTTTGAGGATATCTGTACTGTTCTGGCATTTGGAGGATATCTGTACTGTTCTGACATTTGGGGGATATCTGTACTGTCCTGACATTTGGGGGGATATCTGTACTGTCCTGACATTTGGGGGATATTTGTACTGTCCTGACATTTGTGGGATATCTGTACTGTTCTGACATTTGGGGGATATCTGTCCTGACATTTGGGGGATATCTGTACTGTTCCGGACTGGAAGGGGGGGGGGGAGTGTCCGGACTGTTCCTATTCTACGCGGTGCGATGTGCAGAATCGGATCCCATTGGTGGGAATACCCGTGCGATCCGATTCTAGTCTCCGATCGCACCGCACACAAATCGCATGTGATTGGCAGAGGAATGCAGTTCCTGTGCCGATCACATGTGATGTACTGCACCGCATGTATGTGAACCCGGGCTCAAAAACTCATTGAAGTGCGCATGAAAACTGATGTCTCTGTAAGTGAAATCTGCGTGGCAGTTTTTCTGGACTTTAAAATTTAAAACCATTTTGACAGGCGGGCGACGGTTCTCTCTAGCTGGGCATGTTCGCCCCCCGGAGGCGAGCGGTGCATCGATCGGTGGTGTGCTGCGTCCCTGGGACACAGCGGATCACCAAGCGCAGTAAAGAGCCGATGACGTCGGCTTTGTCATGTGACCAGCTGTGTCCAATCACAGCGGATCGCATGCAAATAGGAATTGCCGGGTATCGGCCCTCTCCTCATAGTGTGACAGGAGAGGAGAGCTGGTAAGCAGCATTCCTCAGTGGGGACATGTACACTGATCATCGGGGCACTAATCATCAGTGTAGCCCCATCACTGCCCATCAATGCAGCCCCATCACTGCCCATCAGTCCACATCAATGCCACATATCAGTGCCCATCAGTGCACATCAATGCCACATACCAGTGCCCATCAATGCCACATATCAGTGCACATCAATGCCACATACCAGTGCCCATCAATGCCACATATCAGTGCACATCAATGTCATATATCAGTGCCCATCAATGCCACATACCAGTGCCCATCAATGCCACATATCAGTGCCCATCAATGCCACATATCAGTGCCCATCAGTGCACATCAATGCCACATACCAGTGCCCATCAATGCCACATATCAGTGCACATCAATGCCACATACCAGTGCCCATCAATGCCACATATCAGTGCACATCAATGCCACATACCAGTGCCCATCAATGCCACATATCAGTGCACATCAATGCCACATACCAGTGCCCATCAATGCCACATATCAGTGCCCATCAATGCCATATATCAGTGCTCATCAATGCAGCATATCAGTGCACATCAATGCCACATATCAGTGCCCATCAATGCCACATACCAGTGCCCATCAGTGCACATCAATGCCACATATCAGTGCCCATCAATGCCACATACCAGTGCCCATCAGTGCACATCAATGCCACATATCAGTGCCCATCAATGCCACATACCAGTGCCCATGAATGCCACATATCAGTGCCCATCAGAGTTGCCTTTTAGTGCCAACTATCAGTGCTGCCTATCAGTGCCAGTCAGTGTCACCTATCAGTGCCGCCAATCAGTGCCACCTATCAGTGCCAGTCAGTGCTGCTTATCAATGCCAGTTAGTGCCGCCTATCAGTGCCCATCAGTGCCGCATATCAGTGCCAGTCAGTGCCGCCTGTCAGTGCCACCTATCAGTGCCAGTCAGTGCCATCTATCAGTGCCATATATAAGTGCTGCCTTTCAGTGCCCACCAGTGATGCCTGTTAATGCCCATCAGTGCTTCCTCATCAATGCCGCCTATCATTTCCAATCATTGCCACCTATCAGTGCCAGTCAGTGTCGCCTATCAGTGCCGCCAATCAGTACCGCCTATCAGTGCCAGTCAGTGCTGCCTTTCAGTGCTAGTTAGTGCTGCCTATCAGTGCCCATCAGCGCCGCCTATCAGTGCCACTCAGTGCCACCTATCAGTGTCATATATAAGTGCTGCCTTTCAGTGCCCACCAGTGATGCCTGTCAATGCCCATCAGTGCTTCCTCATCAGTGCCGCCTATCAGCGCCCATCAGTGTAGCCTCATTAGCGCACATCAGAGAAGGCGAAAAATTACTTATTTACAACATTTTATAAAAGAAACTAAGAAAAAAACTTTTTTTTTTCAAAATGTTCAGTCTTTTATTAGGTTGTTTAGCAAAAGATTATTTAAAAAAACCCCAGAGGTGATTAAACACCACCAAAACAAAGCTCTATCTGTCTGAAAAAAAATGCTAAAAATGTTGTTTGGGTACAGCGCTGCATGACAACGCAATTGTCATTCAAAGCGAGACAGTGCTGACGGCTGAAAATTGTCCCAGGCAGGAAGAAGGTGAAAGTGCCGGCAGGCGAGGGGTTCAATACCTCCGGGGGGATTGGATGAGAAGATAAAGCAGAGAAAAACACCCTTAAAAGTCGTGTCTGGTCTGTGGCCCACGAGACAGTCGGGCCCCGCTCCCGGGAGCCATCCATTACCGCTTCACAGGAAAGGAAAAGTAGATAAAGCTTGCCGTTTTTCTGTCCTTTCTTCACGTGTAGAAGGCCATCAGTCTCCGGGCACCCTGGGACATTAAATCAGCGCCACTCGACTTTGTGTATCCACAAGGTTGAACTTGCTGTTGATGATAATGGGAAGTTGAATTGAAGCTTTGCGCTCTCCCCAGAGGGATCTTTCCCTGAATGCAAATATGAAAGTTCATCAATACTTCACTGTTATGTATCTCCCCGACTCCGACTGCATGCTAAAGCACAGGGACTGAGAAGAGGAGTACATGGGACTCAGGAGCACGGCCGGGCCCCCGCAGCTCTCTGTATACGGAGCAGCTTGTGGTCCTTTATAAAGCCCATTACATTTTTCATTCAACGCAGAACTCCGGGCAAACTTTTTTCTTTTATTAAAATGCGACGTGTGATAAAAAGTTCTCATCAAGTGTACGCAGGACCGCCGTACTTTCTACAACAGTTACACTTTCATTGATGGCGGCTGGCATATCCCTCATGGAAGAAAAATATATTTTAAAAATATTCTTCCCAAATATGTTGACATAGATTTGAAATACTACAATTTTGGCTGTATGCAATATATAAAAAAAAAAAAAAAATAAATATATATATATATATATATATATATATATACACACACATATATGAGTGTATATATATATATATATATACATAATATATGAAAAATCTTTTATATATATATATATATATATATATATATATATATAAAAAAAAGATTTTTCATATATTTTGTAATATATAAAAAACGCATCTCGACATGCAGACAAGCAATATATTAAAAAAAAAAAAAAAAATATATATATATATATATATATATATATATACATGTATATGTGTGTATGTGTATATATATATTTAAAAAAAATATTTTTCATATATATTGTAATATATAAAAAATGCATCTCGACATGCAGACAAGCAATATATTAAAAAAATAAATAAATATATATATATATATATATATATATACATATATATGTGTGTATATATATATATATATATATATATATATATATATTTTAAAAAATATTTTTCAGATATTTTGTAATATATAAAAAATGCATCTCGACATGAAGACAAGCAGTATATATACCGTATTTGCCGGCGTATAAGACGACTGGGCGTATAAGACGACCCCCCTACTTTTCCTGCTAAAATGTAGTGTTTGGGCTATACTTGCCGTATAAGACTACCCCTCTTCCAGTGCACACCAGTGGGAGGAATAGTGCCCCATCATCGGTATCAGTGGGGGGAATAGTGTCCCATCATTAGTATCAGTGGGGGGAATAGTGCCCCATCATCGGTATCAGTGGGGGGAATAGTGTCCCATCATTAGTATCAGTGGGGGGAATAGTGCCCCATCATTGGTATCAGTGGGGGGAATAGTGTCCCATCATTTAGTATCAGTGGGGGGAATGGTGCCCCATCATTGGTGTCAGTAGGAGGAATAGTGTCCCAACATTGGTGTCAGTGGGAGGAATGGTGTCCCATCATTGGTGTCAGTGGGGGGTGGAATAGTGCCCCATCATTGGTGTCAGTGGGGGGTGGAATAGTGCCCCATCATTGGTGTCAGTGGGGGGTGGAATAGTGCCCCATCGTTGGTGTCAGTGGGGGGTGGAATAGTGCCCCATCGTTGGTGTCAGTGGGGGGGGGAATAGTGCCCCATCATTGGTGTCAGTGGGGGTGGAATAGTGCCCCATCATTGGTGTCAGTGGGGGTGGAATAGTGCCCCATCATTGGTGTCAGTGGGGGGTGGAATAGTGCCCCATCGTTGGTGTCAGTGGGGGGGGGGAATAGTGCCCCATCGTTGGTGTCAGTGGGGGGGAGGAATAGTGCCCCATCGTTGGTGTCAGTGGGAGGAATAGTGCCCCATCATAGGTATCAGCGGGAGGAATAGTGCCCCATCATTGGTATCAGTGGGAGGAATAGTGCCCCATCATTGGTATCAGTGACACCAATGATGGGGCACTATTCCTCCCACTGACACTTGCTGACTCTGTTCTCGTATGGTGCTGCTGCAGCCCAGCATATGTGGTTGCAGCAGCACCTCTACACTGACCACTTACCTGCTGGTCCTGCACTCGATTTTCGCGCGGCCGCTCGGCTCCACCCTCTCGCCGGTGATTGGCCGCCTGTGTGCCTTTCCTGAGCTACAGTTCTGGCGGCCAATCGCTGGTGAGGAGGCGGAGCCGAGCAGCCGCGCGAACTCCAGTGGCCGAACTGAAGGCGCAGCCGCGCTTCCTGGACCGGATCGTCGTGGGACCGGAACCAGGTAAGAAATAGCCCCTGCCCACCCCCTGTACTTAGTGTCCCTTCCGTTAGGGGAAGGGGGGGGCGGCGGCGGCACCGCGCCGCCCCCCTAAAAAGTGTCATGTCATGTTTATACCGGCGTATAAGACGACCCCCGACTTTTGAGAAGATTTTTAAGGGGTAAAAAAGTCGTCTTATACGCCGGCAAATACGGTATATATATATATATATATATATATATATATACATATATATATATTTATTTATTTATTTATTTTTTTAATAATAAATATGTGTGTGTATATATATATATATATATATATATATATATATATATACGTATATATATAAAAAAATATATATATATTTATAGTATAATAATATAATAATAAAAATAGGTATATATATATATATTTATTTATTTAAACACACTGCATGCTGAAAGGCATTTTTTATATATTACAAAATATATGATTATAGCGCAAAAAAATAAAAACTGCACAGGCGATGAAATACCACCTAAAGAACTCTCAATTCGTGGTAAAAAAATGACGTAAATTTCATTTGGGTTTGGCGTAGCATGTCCGTGCAATTGTCAGTTAAACTAACGCAGCGCCGTAACACAAAAAAAATGGTCCAGGAAGGGGGGAAAATTTATTATTATTATTATTTTTATTATTATGCTTATTCTTATTTTTTTTTTATAATATTATTATTATTATTATTATCAGTATTATTTTTATTCTTATTTTATTTTTTTATATTATTATTATTATTAATAATGGAAAAAGCTTCTTTAGCCAAAATAATTAAAACATTTTTTAAAAAGTTAATCTTAAGAATGAAAGAAGATAACTAAATATATACTTTTATTTGTTGCATCCTCGCACATCAAACGTCTAAACCGGATCGTGTGTGATAGTCAAAAGGCTCTTCTGCTTTCATGCAGTAAAGAAACCACAGACGCTCGAGGAGCTGTGTCTCAAAGACCATTGTTTCAAGATCGGTGTCAAAATCCTTTCTACTTCAGAGGAGCCCGAGCCTAACCTGCTTCTCATTTTAATTCAATTACTCCCTCCCCTGGGAGTGACACTGGAGTTCTTTTAACCTTGCCACATTAAAGAGTGCTGAACTATTTTCTATCTCTCCTTTATTCTGAGCTTATGTTTAGTCACCAACTCATTTCAATATGGCCACGCCACGCTTGATGTCACCCTTAATATGTAGAGACAAGCGGCTGTACTGGAGAAGAACCGCAGAATGACGCTCAGCTTGGGTGATAGGATGAGATCGTAGTGGACTTTTTCAGTAAGGGTTCAAAAGAACACAGTGATGACATACAAAGTACAGTGACCCAGAGTAATCAATTGGATTCCACTTTCCTGCTGCTGGGGTAAAGTGAACATGACACCATTTTGAATATAGTTGAAGTATGGTCAAAGCCAAAACTTTCTTTTAAGTTTTTGATGGGGCATAGGAGAGCTAGAACCCTTCTTGGGTTTTCTTCTCTATGTGGGGAGATTTGCTAGATTTGTCCTGGTGACCATTAGGGATGATCTTGGATTAGGTCCAAACCGGGTTGACATTGGCCTAATATGGCCATGTGCCTATCCTTTTTTGGTGACCAGTAGGGTTGAGCTTGGGTTTGGTCCCAACTGGATTGACATTGGCCTAACATGGCCATGTGCCCATCCCTACGGGTAACCGTTAGGGTTGAGCTTGGGTTTGGTCCCAACTGGGTTAACATTGGCCTAACATGGCCATGTGCCCATCCCTACGGGTAACCAATAGGGTTGAGATTGGGTTTGGTCCCAACTGGATTGACATTGGCCTAACATGGCCATGTGCCCATCCCTACGGGTTACCGATAGGGTTAAGCTTGGGTTTAGTCCCAACTAGGTTGGCATTGGCCTAACATGGCCATGTGCCCATCCCTACGGGTAACCGTTAGGGTTGA